ACAAGATTTGTGGATTATAAAAAAATAAATTATTTTTTAAACAAAAATGTTTTTAAAATTCTAAAGAGCAACACACTCTGTGTATACAAGCTTTAGTGACAGCCTGTTACTGACAGGGTGTTTGCAAGGTTAAAATGAGGTAGGGTTTGCGACTTAACACGTTTTAGAATCTCCCAGTTGGGGTTCAATAAATGGAAGCCATTGTTCAATGTAACGCAGCAGCCCTCGCACCGGCGTCACCCCCTCCCGGGTTTTCTCTCTTGCAGGTTGGTTGGGGTGCCCTCTGGCGTCTACATTTTGTCATAGCATCTCAGGGCAAAGAACGCCCTTTTAGCCAAGCTTGGAGTTTCAATTCCAAAGGGCAATGCTTTGCTTTTCTTTCACTTCCGGACCATATAAAACAGCACCACATCAGACCAATGGGTCCCAAGTCCAACTCAAGTCCTGCTCATGATGGGTAAGTGTGTCAGGAGGAGGCAGAGGAGAGCACAGATTTTCTCCGCTTGATTCAAGTGCAAATCACAAACATTATCTAGTTAGTAATCATATTTGAACGTGGCATTGCATAGGCCACAAAAATGCTCTGACACTAACAATAATCGTGCCCCGCTCTCAGTGACAGTTTTCTGTACCAGGCACCCTACTAAGAAATATGTGTTCACTTTTATCTTTAATCTTTAAAATGACCTGTGAGGCACATATTGCCTTGTCGTCTGCTTTTCCCCCCTCAATAGTATGTTTTGGGCATCTTTCCATGTCAACAAACAGAGCTGTGGCGGTACTTGATTCAAAGGCTGAGAAACTTAAACAGTCAACAGCCACTGCCCAGGTGAAGATCGATAATAGTTAACATTTATTGAGTGCTTTATTACACACCAGGCCCTATGCTAATTGTTTAATATCAACTATCTCTCACCTGATCCTTGAGGTAACCCCCAAGGTAGGATCTATTACTATTCAGATGAGGAATCCGAAGCCCAAAGAGGCGTAGGAACACCCTCAAGGTCAGACAGCTAGTGTGAATGGCAGATCTGGGATCCAAACCAGGTCGGTCTGATTCCAGCAGTGTCAGGCTCTCAGCCAGCATAATTGGAAGACAATATGAAAAAGGATGCAAGGGAAAGTCTTCTAAGCAGGGAAAAGATCTGCTGACCAAGCCTAGAGGCAGGCAGGAGGTTGGTGTGGGCCAAGGCCATAGAGGAGGCAGTTTCCAAAAATCCACAGTCTCCAGCCAAGAAAGGCAGTCTTTTAATAACTTGCCAATAACTTGCCTCCGTGGTCAGGCATACATGGGCTCAATTTCTAATTGTGCCACTCTCTAGTTTTGTTTGTTTGTTTGTTTGTTTGTTTTAATGGCATTATTGGCCAGACATGGTGGCGCATATCTTTACTCTCAGCACTTTGGGAAACTGAGGCAGGAAGATCACTTGAGGCCCAGCAGTTCAAGACCAGTCTGGGCAACATATCAAGACCCCATCTGTATAATAAAAAGAAATTAAAACAGCATTGTTGAGATATAATTGATGTGTAATAAATATACATATCAAAAATGATATGTCTGTCATTCGTTGAGTTGTGAAATATGTACATATCCATGGAAACACCACAGCCAAGAGATGAGTGTCTCCATTGCCCCCCAAAGTTTCCTAGTACCCCTTTATAAATCATCCCACCCCCATTCCCAGGCAACCACGGTCCCTATAGATTACTTTCTTTCACTATAGTTAGCTCTACAGTTTCTAGAGTTTTATAGAAATGGAATCATAGAATTTGTACTCTTTCTGTATGACTTCTTTCAGCATAATTATTTTGAAATTGTCCTTGTTTTCCCATGCATCAATAGTTTGTTCCTTTATATTGTTTTTGTTTTTGTTTTTGTTTTGAGACAGGAGCCTCAAGCTGTCCCCCTGGGTAGAGTGCTGTGACATCACAGCTCATGGCAACCTCCCACTCCTGGGCTCAAGCGATTCTCCTGCCTCAGCCTCCCGAGTAGCTGAGACCACAGGCGCCCGCCACAATGCCCGGCTATTTTTTGGTTGCAGCCGTCATTGTTGTTTGGCGGGCCTGGGCTGGATTCGAACCTGACACCTTGGGTATATGTGGCTGGCACCTTAGCCACTGGAGCCACAAGCACCAAGCCTATATTGTTAATTAGTATTGATTGTGATATGTATACATATTAAAGACATACCACAGTTTCCCCATTCTCTGTGGATGGATGATTTTACCCCAGTTTTTGACTATTATGAATAAAACTGCTATGAACATTCATGTCCATGTCTTTTGAGTGGACAGATGCTTTCATTACTCTTGAGTGAATACCTAGGAATGCAATTGCTGGGTCATGTGAGGGTATATATAACTTTTTAAGAAACTGCAAACTGGCTTGGCACCTGTGGCTCAAGTGGCTAAGGCACCAGCCACATACACCTGAGCTGGCGGGTTCAAATCCAGCCTGGGCCCGCGAAACAACAATGATGGCTGCAACCAAAAATAGCCAGGCATTGTGGCGGGCGCCTGTAGTCCCAGCTACTTGGGAGGCAGAGGCAGGAGACTCGCTTGAGCCCAGGAGTTGGAGGTTGCTGTGAGCTGTGATGGCACGGCACTCTACCCAGGGTGACAGCTTGAGGCTGTGTGTCAAAAAAAGAAACTGCAAACTATTTTCCAGAGTAGTTGTACTATTTTGTGTTTTCACCAGCAGCAGACAAGAGCTCTTATTACTAGGGCCCATCTTTCTAATCACACTCATTCTAGATGAACTCATTTTTTCAAACAGTGGATCCAAATGATGGTTTCTTAGACTTTTCTGAGCCTCACCTTTTTTTTTTCCAATGTATAAAATGGAAACAAGCATGATAGGTAGTGAAGATGGAGTGAGCTAACACCCAGACAGCATGTAGTATAATAGGTATTTCATGTAAGGTGGCTATTTTATTGCAATTGAACCCCAGCAATCTCCAGGATACAGCATCCTCATCTAGATGGCATTCAGTAAGTGTGGTCAGCCTGCAGGAATAACAATAGCACCAATGACAGTGCTAGGCACTGTGCCAGGTGCTTGCGTATGTTGAGCCCTTGCAAAGCCCTGTGAGGTGTACAGTTGTTTTCTTTCCACATTACAGATGAGAAAACTAAGGTATAGTTGCCATTCATTGGCCAAGGTCCCACAGCAGTGAAGTGATGGTGGTGGGATTTGAACCTATGTCAGTGTGATTTGGGATCCAGAAGTCTTGGTAATGGAGTACCAGATCTAGGCTAGTGAAATGATGGCCGGTCACAAAAGCACCTTCTTATGCCCAGGGTCATCTTCATCTCCTCAGAAGCAGAGCCTGAGGCAGGGATTAGGTACACTTGGTTTATGAAGAGAGACACTAAAAGGGATGAAGGGAAACAAGAAAGGGAGGGAACCAAGTAAGGATGTGGTCTCAAGTAAATTCTAGCAAGGGAGCTGGCCTTTTGCACATTTGTACCATCAGTTGTTGGCTGAGAGCCTCCCCATGACTAAAGGAAACAGCATCCTGGGTGAAGCGATTCCTGAGGTGATAATTCTCAGGAGGACAAACAGTATACCATTAGAAGCCAGCAACTGAAGCATCTCGGGTGAAGATGTGCTAACTTCATAAAGGGCTCAAGAGGTTCCTAAAGGCACCCACACTTCTTGCTGGCTAATGAATCAAGTTCTAAAACATTCTGGAACATTCCATTCCCAGACTTGTTTTGGAGAATTCTTTGCGAGCAATGCTCTCTCATGTTAAACAAAACTGATGTGTGGGGGAAGGGAGGAGGTACAAAGAAGGAGCTGCCTCTGCCAAGCACCCAAGCTGGGTGAGGGGAGAATGTTTAAATACAAATCAAATTGGGAGTTTCAATTGATAGCTTGGGTGGCACCTGTGGCTTAAAGGAGTAGGGCGCTGGCCCCATATGCCAGAGGTGGTGGGTTCAAACCCAGCCCCGGCAAAAAAAAAAAACCTACAAGGGCAGTGCCTGTGACTTAGAAAGTTAGAGTGCCAGTCCTATATGCCGGAGGTGGCAGGTTCAAACCCAGCCCCAGCTAAAAAAAAAAAAAGTTAACTTAAAAAAAAAAAACTGATAGCTAGACTGGAGAGTCTAATTTCTAAAGTGATAATTGGGTTGGTGACCTAAAGTGGCCATAGAATCATCTGTTTTCTGAGTGAGCAGAAGAGTAACGGGGGTCAAGGGGGTTCCACCCATCAGCAAGGAAAATGTCAGATGAGAACTCATTTTAGGAGGGACACTGGGAGACAAAAATAAAAGTGTGCTTTGATTATGTTGCAGGTCAGGTTTATGAATATGGGGATAATGAGAGGTCATGGCTACATTTTAGCAGCTGTGGGCTTTAGACTGTGCTCTTGAAAAATGATCACTGGTTGTCATTTCAAAGTTTCCTGGTGACATAGCAACAATTTCATGTCCACCATCCTGAACCTCAATTTTCTGATATCCTTACTGGGAGTGACAATACCTACGTGATGGGGTGGTTGTGAGGGCTGAGTGATGTGGTGAACTTCCAGAGCTGACACTCCAGGATTTCACAGTCACAGACCTGCAGTGCTATCGGCATGTGACCATTCACAAGTGACTTTGCCTCTCTGAGTAGTTTTCTCCTGTGTCAAACATGCTCATGAGAGCCTCTGCTCTGTAGCACCCCTAGGTTAGTTGAGTGAATATATATAAAGTGCTTAGCACAGTGCCTGGCCTGGTAAGAACTCTGCCTGTGCTGGGCTTACGAATACAATGGAGGGTGGGCTGCTACCCACAGAACAGGGGGTGTAGGATCTCCACCCCTTCCCGTTCCCTTACTATTCCAGGCCCTGTTTTGGAAATACTTCAGCCCGGCTGGAATCCAGGGCCCTTGGGAACAGAGAGGACGTCCTGTACCTCCCAGCGAGTGAGCGGCCGTGCTGACTCAGGTTAGGAAATCAATGTGTGACCACAAAAACACAACTCGGTGCTTACCCCTTCTGGGAAATACACACAGCCAGCCCATGGGCACCTCTTTGTTCCAATGCTGAGACGTGGCTAGCTCTGTTCTAGGTCCTGATCCCCAGGCTTGTGGGCAACAGGCTAGCATACCAAGAAACAGGAGTCTCTGGTCCCTGAAGGCACTCCAGGCCCCTGGGTCACAAGCTTCGCATGACCCTCTGACTGGGGTCAAGCATGTCTGGTGCTTGCCAAGCCTCTGATTTCTCCCAGCCCTCATCTGGACGCTTCTCAAGCCAAACCAGGCTCCGGACCACTGGTTGGGCAACCCGTGACCTCAGACTGGGTCAGACCTATCAGGTGAGCATCTGTTTAAGATTATAGAACATTCTGTTCTTTAGAATTCCAAGGGACAGAACCTTCCCCACCCCTAGTTCAAGCCCCCTCCCATCCTTAACTGCCATTTACTTAACTTTGGGCAAGTCCCTTCACTTCTTTGAGTTCCAGTTTTCCCATCCCTAAAATGCAGGCTAACAAGTACCCTCACCTTCCAGGGCTGTTTTTGAGACTCAGGTGATGTGTGTTAGAGGATAGCGCATACAGTGGCAGAAACTCAATGGTGGCAGGGGGGTTATAACTACAGGCAGGGGCTCTGCAAAAAACAGCACAGCAGGTATACTACAGTGAGTGACAGTACAGAGCTGGGAGCCAGACTGCCTGAGTTCAAACCCAGGTCACTCTTCCACTTCCTGTGTGGATATGGGTAATGAGCCTCAGTTGGATTTTCTGTGAAATGAAAATGATCATAATGGGGTTATGAGGGTTCAATTAGATTAGATGCACTGGCAACAGTGCCTGGCACATAGTAATCAACTAATAAGTATTAACTTTTTTTTTTTGAGACAGAGTCTCACTTGGTTGCCCAGGCTAGAGTGGCATGATGTCAGCCTAGTCCACAGCAACCTCAGACTCCAGGGTTCAAGCAATCTTCCTGCCTCAGCCTCCCAAGTAGTTAAGACAACAGGCGCCCACCACAATGCCCAACTAATTTTTTTCTATTTTTAGGAGAGACGGGGTCTTGCTCTTGCTTAGGCTGGTCTCCAACTTCTGAGTTCAAGCAGTCCTTCTGCCTCAACCGCCCAGAGTGCTAGGATTACCAGCATGAGCCATCACAACCAGCCAGCATTAACTATTTTTAACAAGTCAAGATTTTTGAAAGGAGTCACAGGGAACTCATATTTAGTGAGCATCTACTATGGACCTAGTACTACTGGAAGCCATACATTCATATACCTTTATGTGAACATATAGACACACACATATACGAGGTAGGTACTTCTGGTTTCATTTTTTGTAATCTTTAAAACATAAAACAAAACAGATGAAGAAAACCACATGAATTAAATTTGTAGCTTATTGAGTTATTTCAGACAAACACCCTTGTAAGCACCACCCCGGTCAAGAAATATAAATTTTGGCTCGGCGCCT